ATACAAGATTCCTATGAATCGGAGCTAATGTGACAGCTCTTAACAACATATATATGTTTGTGTGTGTATGTGTATACACCCACACACACATACACACATATATATAGCACACCTTAGAAATTCAAACATTGAGCACAACGTGTTTTTTCAAATCAGCTTTCTTAATTTTGTCTGTTTAAAATCAATTTGGCAACTCTTCTCACCGTGTTTTGATCATATTTTGAAGGTATTCAGCCACAGTTACAGGGCTGGCATTTTTGTTTGATGATTTATAGGTACTTAATAAGCTTCTAAGGGGATGATTAAGGAACTTAAATGACTACAGAAAGCAGGCAGTTAATAAATAAAAACAGGACTGCAATGAACTGAACACCAAAGCCCTCCTGAGGCAGGACAGTGGTTCTTCCTCCAGTATTTCAAATTAGTGGCAAATCCGGGTATGAAGCAAATGGTTCCAGGTCTTCTTAATTAAGGAAGGAAGAAGCCAAAATTTAGATTATGAGATATCCCAATTTTTAAATGTTGGCAACTCTTTTTTTTTTAATCAAGGTTTTCGCCATTAAAATGAGTAGGTTTATATGCCCTTGGACTAGCATTTGTTTTCCTGAAAGATACTACAGCAAACAGTACTATTATATAAATATTTCTTTGGTTTCCTAAAAATCTGAAACCTAATGTGAGAACATTACTAAGAATAAGCTTCCTATTGTATTGGGAATAGGAGCTACTCCAAAGCAGTAACAAGTGGCATTCATATTTGCAGTTTGTGACTCAAAGAAGAAAGATCATTTTTGCTTAATTTGCTTGAAAATTGAAATGCAGTAAATATATAATATTAACATGGTAGTCGTTACCTGTTCCTTTTTTGCAGGTATAGGTGAGATGGTAATTGCAGGGAACGTCATTCCACTGGCCGTTCTCATGCCAGATGATTACAACACAATCTTCACCAGAAGAAAAGAAACTATCTGGCTGGTTGGGTCTCCAGTTCTCATATTGCTACAAGAAGAGAGGGAGAAGATAAGTACTTCAGAATCTAACAGTAACATATTGTAAGAGTCCCTGGGTGGCTCAAAAGATTAAATAAGCACTCAACAGGTTCCTCAAATAGGTCTAGCGATCTGTTTCCAAAAGGTCTAGTCTTGAAAATGCTGTGGAACACAGTTCTGCTCTGACACCCATGGGTCACCATGAGTTGTAACCAACTCAGTTGCATCTAACACCAACAACAACATATTTTAAGAGTGACCTGAGCATTGCATTATTATCATATAAGAATGGACTCAAAGAGTTCTCCTGAACCACCAAGAAGAAATTTAAGAAAATTTGCAACTCTGAGTAAAAAATATATACTAGATTTTTTTTTTAAAGTCTCTCTTCCACCCCGTTTCCCCCCCCCACCACCACCACCACCATGGGCAATGGGTTACAACTGAGGAGTTTTGGAGCAAGCTGCTGGGTTCAAACTGAACCAAGGTAATAAAGTGGTTAAAGTGGTCAGCTGCTAACCAAAAGGTCAGCAGTTCAAACCCACTCACTACTCCATTAAGAGAGAAGTGCAGCAGCGGGCTTCTGTAAAGGTTGACTGTCTTGGAAACTCCATAGGGGAGCATTGACTCTTGTCAGATGGCACAAAGTTTTGTTTGGGCTTTAGTGGGTTTGAACTGCCTACCTTTTGGTAAATAACTAGACCAGTAAATAACATCATGATAAATCGAGAAAAGATTGAAGTTGTCGAAGACTTTGTTTTGCTTGGATTCAGTATTGCAAATCTGTTGCACAAGATCTCTTTACAGAGTTCAAGAGCAAAGATATCAGTTTGAGGATGAGGTGCACCTAACCTAAGCCATGGTATTCTCAATTGCGTCATATGCATGTGAAAGTTGCACAATGAATGAGG